TTCTGTGACAGTCTTTTGAAGTGTGTAAAGCTCCATTTTATCCCATACATAGTCAAAATATTGTGGGGGGGGGGTGATACAATGGACCATCCCCCTTGTCAAATATTGTGGGGATATATCCCCCATCCCCCAGGGATCTACGCCTATGTCTTGGTTTAATATGCACAATGTGCAATAACGGTGATGTTGAGTACAGTATGTTAAGCAATATCTTTCCAATTGTAGATAGTGTGTTTGATAAAATACGAAAGAACGAACTGATGATTAATAATAGTTCTGAACGTAATGTAAAGGGTCGAATGGTAAATGCGCTGAAACGAAAAAGAGCCATAAAAGGCAGTAACGGCGTTCCATAACTAGTAGGCCTGAAGTGCGCTGTGTTGTGGTTCTTGGCTAGGATATCCCTTGGCTAGCGCTTCTTGTTACCGTTTCTGGAGTTGGAGAAATAATGTCGGCTGAGGTCGATATTGAAGACAACTCTTGTTTACTATTTACCGACAGTATACATAAAGCTACCACTATTGTAGAAGAATATGAGCGACAGACATGTAGCAGATTCATTAGTGCCGCATGTTCAAAAGATTTTGGAAAGTCAGGTAAGGCCTAGGCCTAGGCCGAATCGATCGACTCAGGGCCGAAACGACCCGGAACCGCCTAGGCCAAAGCTAGGATTAGGGTCGTAGCGGCCGCGAGAGAAAGCGACCGCGCTCAAAATGTATGGAACGCCAGTAGCGCTATACCGATTGATTGGGATACGGTACGGTATATAGCGTTCATATCGTAATGTAATAAATTTGATGAACGTGAAAAACAGGTCTAGGTATACTTAGTGATACTGTATTATTATTATTATTCGAAGTGTCTATGCTTACGCCGAGTCGTAAGCATTAGACATAGGCTATGCTTACGCCGATCTATTGAGCATGCGCAGGGGTGGCGTAAGCATTATTTCGAGGCTATGCTTACGCCGATCTATTACTGAGCATGCACAGGGCTGGCGTAAGCATTATATAGTGGCTATGCTTCCGCCGAATTGCTAGTCAACGTAAATAGTCAACTCGTTGATCTGCTTACTATTTCGCGTTGTCGAGGCATGAGCTTTGTCTAGTCCAGTTTTCCAAAAGAACAGGCATCGTCATGAACTGAGGCAGACATATTAGTACATTCCCACACGAGGACCCAATTCTAGCTTACCTAGTTTCTGTAGCACTTGCCTATTTAGCCTGCCTTAATTCACTTTACTCAAGTACTCCATATCATCCTTGTGTAAAAATATTGGACCTGTGCCAAGCTCTTGTACTTTCCTCATGAGTGCCGTCTGTTCATTGTGATACAGTACTTCATTGTTAGATAGGCCTATCTAGCCCAATTTATGTTGATATTGATACAATACTATATCTGAAATAATAATGACAATGTATCTATATATGATGTGTAGAATGTTGGAGATGACCTGCCAGCTGCAGTGATATTCTGATTTTAAATCATTGTCCTGTACATTACAGTACATAATTAAAAAGCGAAATCAAAAAACAATAATTACTCCTAGGGTGCTCTTATCTCGATCTCACCCCGACCTTTCCAACATCTCTTGATCCGTGTCCCTATAAAATTCTTAATTTTCCTATTATGAACAAGTACGCATACAATAATTACAAGAGAGCGTGACACAGTTTCAATTCAATTTTGTTATTAATATACAAAAACACTGTAGTATATTTCGGTTTTAAGCACCAAGGTTTTTAACTGTTTGAAAGGAAACTCTCTTAAAAAATAACTTTCTTTTTCTCTACTAACTAAATGATTCGATGTGCACGAAATATGGGCTGTACCACGAAATATGGGCTGTACTAACAATTAGCTCTGATTATTAACATGGTGAGAACCATGAATGCAGGCGTAATCGATTGAATAGAATTTTAATTCGGGGTTGAAGTTGCTTTTAGGTGCACGTTTTTTGGCAGAATCGATGCTAAGTGAAGATCGTTTATAAAATTTATGTGATTTTCTTTCTCCCAATTCGATACAGCTTCTGACAATTTTTCATAGCTTGTGAAAGTGCCACCGAGACGCAAAAGTGTCTTCATCTGCCATCTTGAAACTTCACCAAGTGCGCGCTACAGAAAAAAAAAATATTTGCACATGCTCAATAGGACGTTTTCGTACTCACGAAGCAAGCGACGCCCTTCAAATAGATGGGCGTAAGCATAGCCTATGATTAATGCTTACGACTAGGCGTAAGCATAGACATTTCGATTATTATTATTATTATTATTATTATTATTATATGTTCATTCACTAAAGAACAAACTGACTGAACACATTAAGTTAGTGAAATTCGTATAAATAAACTAAAAGAAGCGATTTGAAAAGTACATCCATTTCTGTAAGAAAGGCATATATAGGCCTACTATAAATCATAATATTTGATATAATAAATAAACAAACTAACTAAATATTAAGTCTCCATTTATATAGGCTATATATAAATTATGAAAGAAAATATACATTTTTTTTTATAATTGATTAAAACAGTATTAATATCAAATTCTGATGGCCATTGTCCAACATACATTTTGCATATTTCACGATTGGCGCTCCATGCAAACAATTGCTGCGTATCGACTCGCGGCCGCTTTCCCTCACGGCCCCTCCGACCATACTCCATGCTAGTTAGGCCTGGGGGTAAGCCTAGCTTAGGCCCAACTACTACTACTAACTAGGCCTCGGCTAGGCCTACAGTACTAGCTAGGCCTAGCCCGGTATACCGACCGCCCTATCTATAAGGCTAGGCTAGCCCTAGCCTAGGTCTAGTTTAAGGCCTTACTACGACCACTACGCCTACCCTACGACTATCTCAGTCTGTTGCTGTGTTCTGGTTTCTTCCTAGCTAGCCTAGTGGGCTAGGGGTCAGGCTACCCCACTCACTAGTAGGCCTAGGGCCTAGGCCTAGGGCCTAGGCCTAATTAATAATAATATGGCTAGGATAGGCGCCTAGGCCTAAATGGGGGTTCATTCAATGAACCTCGAACGTTAAACAGGACGCTCTAAAGAAAAAAAAAATTGTATTTTGTATGATGCCAAATTTTGAAAATTCTGATCTGAATTATCAGACTGCCCTTTTAATATTTCCAAAATTTATAATTGAAAAAAAAAAACTAGACATTCTGGCAGTTTAATAGTTGATTGCAAAATAGTAGCTGCTCATGCTAACAATAATAGTGCTAACAATAATAATAAGAAAAATTAAAAAATTAGTAAACACTCATGGCACAGAAATGCTGTATTTATAAAGGTATTGTGTTGTGAGAAAAACACTGAGGTAAAAAAATTAAGAATTAAGTAAGATGCGAAAGTGCATTAGCGCCCATGCCTCTTTGTAATTTTCTAATTTACCAATTAGACCTAGGCTAGGAGGCTACATACACCACTATGCCAAGTGCCTATCGCCTTTAATTCCAAACCATGTGCTCCATGCGACAAGCTACTCTAACATCATAATATATACCTTGGTATCTTTATTCATAAATTCAAAACAAAACAACTACAATATCAAATCCTTAGCAGCCGGAGGCTGAATTGGGGATTCAATTTACAAAATAGAAAACCTGAATTAAATTTACAATAAGTCATTATCATAATTAAGATCAATTAAAATAGTCAATATTATTATTATTATTTTAATTAGTAATACAATTATTATTTAAAAATTTTGATATTATATTAATATGCACAAACATTAAAATTTCCAATTTAAAAAAAACCCAAAAATTAAAAAACAAACTAATGAAACTTAAACTAATATTAAACCAAAACACCACCCGGGACGAGATCTGCCCCCGCAGCACAAGTCAACACTCTCGCAGAAAGGACACCTAGGAATGGATTAATTTATTTGATTAAGAAGTTTGGTGAGAAAAGGTATAGGGCTATTTCTAAACCTTTCTGTTCTAGGAATAACAGTTTCGAATTTTCTGGGATTACGGAGACGCATTGATGAGGTATTATTTGAGGTTTGGAACCGGATTGGAACCAATGACGAAACCTGTGATTAATAACTGATTTCTGGGCAAACTTTCTGCAGATAGAGGACCCGCGGTCAGGGAGCGACTCCAGCCCGAGCGTTGCTAGGGCACTTTCGTGTGAAACATACTCATGTGCCAGAATAATGCGACATGCACGCTTTTGGACCCTCTCAAGGGGACGGATCTGTGCTCCAGATAATCCACAGTTCCAAACTAGTGTGGCATATTCGAGGGTTGGGCAATTATAACCAACGTAGATGGTTAAAAGTTCACTGGAAGTGAAACCTACCTCTCTCAATCGTTTAAGCATAAACATTTTTTTGTTAGCATTTCTTTCAATTTGATCGATATGACCATCCCATTTAAGATCATCTTGAATCACCACCCCGAGGAGTTTTACTCTATTAACAATTGGGAGTATGGTATGTGAGATGGCGCAAATACACCTGCATGATCTGACACTTGGAGGGATTAAAATATAATTTATTTCTAACTGACCATTGCTGTGAAAGGTCCAGGCAAGATTGAATGGAACTTGGAGAGCCAATTTTATTATTTTCTCCAAGTGTCAGATCATCAACATATTTCCAGACATGGATGTTCAGATCCTCAGCATTATATGGATTTAGGTTAAAAGTGGAATTGATAACACAAAGAAAGATAAGAGGGGCAAGTATAGTTCCCTGTGGAACACCACATGAGAGAGATTCCCATTCGGAGTAGTGATTCAAGTATCTACATCGTTGTTTGCGATTAGAGATGAAGTCGACGACCCACTGCAAAATAGATGGAGATACGTTCATATTAAGGAGGCTGCTAAATGCCACTCGATCAATTACATCAAAAGCTTTGGTAAAATCAGTCAAAGCAAGTGCACTGACATTACCAGGTTTTTCGGCTTCCGATATTAATTTATGGTACACATCTATCAAGCAGTGAGTCGTCGACACACCTTTTTGATTCCCAAATTGCTGTGAATCAATAAATGGTTCAATTGCCTTAATTATTGATTTTGAAACTCTTTTTGAGTGTTGGGGTGAGAGAGATAGGTCTCAGTTTTTCAATTGAGGGGGTGTCTGTTTCGGGAGGGGGATGACATTTTCCTCCTTCTACTGAGTTGGAACAACTCCTTGTTCAAGGGATGCATTGATGATATGAGACACAAGAAGGCTAAGTTCAAATGCACATTCCTTGATGATCTGTGGAATATTGTCCGGACCCCCTGCCTTTGAAACAGACACCCTCTTCAAATCGTCATAGATCTCCCAGGGGTGAAATTGGGGAGGAGGCACATGGCTTGGCAAGTAAGCAGGAAGAAAGTTAGTATTGATTTCTTGATGTTTTTGAGAATGCTTAGCGAGAAATTTATTTATGCAATTTGCAACAGCCAAGTGATCGCCAGTGTCGACTCCAGGCACATCAATTATCATGTTCTTTTTGGTACTGTTTGTTAAACGTTTGACTTGTTTGTGCCACTTTCCAGGGTCCACCCGTTTTAGATAAAAACTTTGTTTTCGATCTCATTAATTTTGGCTTTCCTAGTTTCTCTTATGATAAGGTTACGAATTTTCTTTCTCTTGGTATCGTCTCCCTTTTCATATGCTAATTGCCTTTCGTATAAAAGGTCCCATATGGCCCGTCATCCATGACTTATCATTACAGTGGATCTTAATTATTTTAAATGGGAAATATACTTGGATTGCATCATTCATAGTTTTGTACTAACGTATCAGCTTTTAATTGAATGTCAACTGCATCATAAATATCAGACCATGTCTGGGTTTGTATCCAACGCCCAAACTCATTGAGCTTTGAATCCGTAATGGGTTGGATAGTTTTAGCAAACACTCTGTTAATAGGGATTCTCACCTTTGGTTGCAATGATATAACACAATGATCGCTGCGAACAATAGCGGGTAAATATTGTGGCCCGAGATACAGTACAACTCAGACATGTTGATAATCAGGTCAAGTATAACTTGTTCTCTTGTAGGGGAATTAATGATCTGCTTTAAACCAGTGCCTAAAAGTATTGACCCTAGTGTCCGTGCGGTTAAAATCACCAATAATCATGAGTCCAGCTTGTTTCTTATGAGTATTAATAAAGTCAGTGCTACCTGTAAGATGATCAACATACAAATTGGCAAGTCCGGTGGTATATATACAGCTGCTACGATCAAGTACTGGACAGCTCGTGGAAATTTCGGATGAGACAACATAATCCATAAGACTTCCATGTCAGCTGGAACGACGATGTCTTTCATTTCACTTCGGCCTTAATGTTTTCCTTAACATAGATTATGACACCTCCGCCTTGTTTGTGCTGTCTACACATATTGAATGAGTTAAAGGAGTTAACATTATACAATTCTGGTGCCGTTTGTGGGGTTATCCATGATTCCGTTATAACAGCTATGTCGATATTGTAATTATTAAGAAGCAAATCCAGTTCATTAAATTTGTTTAGAATTGATTTGAACATACGTTAGTGGCAACAATTTTAGGAAGAAAAGCTGGATTTAGTTTCCTATTATGTATGTGAGATTTGGTTATTTTTACTTCAACAAGTGTTGATTGCCTGTCACTAAAATTGTGCCTCGCCGTCTTTCTTGTTGTAATCCTAACAGGTATTGACCTTTGTTTATTTTTGCTTGCACGACAACCTCTAGGTTTGATACGAGCGATATTTAATTCATTAGCAATTAAGAAAAACTCTTTACCTGGTTTCGGATAACAGCTCCTTTTATTCACAAACGGTACCTGTCTCGAAAAGCACATTATTTTACTGATCACAGCAGCATGGGAACACCGTCGAATTAAGAGGTAGTGACGCTAAAAATATTCTCGCACGGCATACAAATTCCGTATGCAAATGAGTTATTGGCGGAGCTCAGCCTCTCGTTGTGGCGAAAGAATTCGTTTTCCTATAGGCAGATCGGGGCTAGCTAACGGACTTCAAACAGATAGATAAAACAAATCGTTCGAAAGTACCAAAATTCAAAATACAACAACAAACACCGTCGTAACAGCGACTAATTAGACTTAAGCAGTAAAAATGAAGCAAACACACACAATAAAAAGGAGAAATTGAGAAACAAATTTTTCCCTTTAGCTGCCTTCTCTTAACAAAGCACCTGTACTGATTCAAAAATGAAATACGAGCCTGTACTGATTCAAAAATAAATATGAGCCACCCAAATTTTTTGTGATACAAATAAATTTCTGGTTAATAAGCCGACAGATTGCTTGTATGCTAGGGATAACCATGGAGCTTTAGGTCGGTTGTCTTCAGACCAAAAATATTAAATTACATATCTACATCCTTTTTAATCTCTCATTTTGGTTCAAAAGTGCCACAATTTTTGGCCATAATTAGCCATAAGAACTTTCCCCATGAAAATGTTGTAGTACACTGCACTATGCAACATTTATTGGAAAGATCTGAAAAATATCAGTTATACTACAGTAGATCTGTTTTCAATAAACAGCCCTGTAGCTCAGATATATATATCAGCATCAATGAAATTTAAAGTAGTAAAACATTGCCTTGGTCTATCATAATTTAAAAAATGTTGATTCTTAAATCACTACCATACATATCAAACTTGTTTTTACATTTCCAGCTGTAGCCTTAAGCATAGATGCAAAAAAGATATATTGGAACACATCCTATAACAACGAAGCAGGCTCTACTCCATACATTATTATTGGTCAAAAACAGTTGGATTGCCACCATGGGAAAGACCCAGATAAGGCCAAGAAGGCAAAATACAAAGCAGAGAAAGAAAAGGTATGTTGCATATTGTACCATCACTCTTTTCAATTCACAAGACACCTTTACTATGTAATATTGGAATGCCTAGTCGCTCAATTTTGGATGAGAATGAAAATTAAAAATTCATCTAAAAAAGTTTAGAAGGGTAATGCACCCATGCTCTGTACAGCTACAGATTATTTAGTTGGCAGGGGAAGGAATGAAGACTGGTACCTATATTTCAATTTACATTGTCAATAGCCTTATTTGTTTTCTATATATTTTGAATATTTAATTCTCTATTAATTGAAGCTTGGTTTCCATACAATCACTACACACTATTGCCGACAGCTTTCGGTGATGCTGATTTGTGATTTGTCGGTCGTATCTGGGGCCTTTCCCGATGGCGTCGGGGACTGCTAGGCTACTACATGATCGCTGTAAGAAACTGTACCGATAGTGTAGCAATTTTAAGAAATCAATGAATACCAAATTTATTGATATGCCGAGGTTAATCTTTTCAGAAAGACAATCCAGTTTCATATTTACGTGTGATGCCATCCAAAAAAGTGGATTGTCCTGCTAAGATAACTTTACGTGATGTCGTGTATTTTACTGATTTTAAGGTAAGGAAAAACGACTTCATTAAAAAAAATTTTTTTTTTTTAAATGTGAAATAAAATGCGTACTTGCAATAAAAAAAAATACATATTATTCAGATGTGGTCCTGTAGTACATAATACTGGAGCCTATTGGGAAGATATTGGTTTAAAAAAGGAGATATGTGGTTACTCATTAGAGCACCGTTCCGCTACCTATGTGTTGCGAACCAATGTATGTGCAGAAAAATTTTGATGGGTCACATAATCTCTTAAGATCGTGAAAACTTTACTTAATACAAATGAGGAGAAATGAAATCAAATTACTGTACAGTAAATGAAAGTGCAGTTAAAGTGTGGTATGTGTGTCAGTTTACTTTTGTAATGTGTGCCTTAATCATAGTTTTATGATAAAATATCAAAACATTTGTACTTCAGGTATAACAACTTGAAAGTGTTAGTTTTGATAATTTCAATATGTTTGGCTTTCAGCTGAAAATTATAATGAAGAAAACATTTTTCAATATAATGTGTCTATGTCTTCTCATAAACCCATACATACAGTATCTGGCAGCAAATTAAGGAATTTATAATAAAATGTCTGTAAATCATTAATTTTAAAAAAACTTAACTTAATGAAAAAATTGATAACTTACATGGTTTGGTTAAATGATCAGTAATTTCATTTTTAGGCATTTTAATTTGATGTGGGTGATAGTATCTTTTAATTGACTGCCAAAAGAATCAAGTGGGTGGTTCTTCTTTTACCCGCTATCTCGCGTGCATATAAAACAATGGACGGGATTTATCGGGTTCGACGGGTTGTGTCGGAGTGCTTGACATATAATTTGGGTCATTGGCCAAAAAGTTTGTGGAACAGGGCATTAGAGGACATGAGAAGATGATCTTCTATTTTTGAGATTAGCAAAATTAAGTGGTTATATGCAATGCTTTGGGTTTTGTACCAGTGGCGGATTCAAGGAGGGGGCTCAGCTGGCCTAGGTCCCTGTAAATTTTGAAAATAAAAAAGAAATGGAGAAAAAAGAAATTCTACCGACTCTGAGTGTCATTTCTGGCCATCTACAGTAGAGGTATTATAACCATAAATTTTCTTACCTCAGCCCCAACCATGGTGGGCTAATGTGGTATAGACCCTCCATCTTTGAAAGTCCCTCTCAGGGCCCCCTCTATTTTAAATTCCTGGATCCACCACTGTGTACACTGATTATGGTGGTGCGGAGGAGCTCCTGATTTTATGTTGGTTTCATCAGTGTTTCTGTATACCGTATTTATGATAACCGACTATTTTACTATTTTATTCCCTTGCCTTCGTAGGTGAACCAGTGGAGAAATATTAATTACCATTTTAAAATTTAAAAAGTCTTTTTTTTTTCAGATTGAACGTGACACAAAATATCACAGACAGACCAAAAGTAGAAAGTTAAAAACTGATTTTAAAAGTAACAAGTGTGGTAAAATCGTAAGGCACATATTGGTCAATTTACCAGCGATCAACGAGCATCGCAATCATCCTTCCGGAGAGGTAGGAATCACTCTGTCAAGCGTGAACATTTATTTAAAAAAAATTTTATTTCAACTTTATTTCACAAGGGTAGCTCTAACAGCTGCACTACAGTAGTACAGCTGACTTGAAAAGGCCCTCGAAAGAAAAGCAATACATAAAAATATATAAAATACATTAAGAATCCAAGTAAGTAAAAGCTTCATTACAGTAAAGTTTAAAAACTATATAATAAATAAAATATTAAATAAATATTGTAACATTCATTAGAAATACAATAAACTTTAAAATTCATTATAAAACTACAAGGTGATGGTTAAAATCAGAATTTTATTGCTTTTCTCTGAGATATAATTTTAACTTGGTTTTAAAATTAGAATAAGATATATTGCATTTAAAAGGAAGAGTGTTAAGAAAGGAGGTGGCTCTGTAATAAAATGACATTTTAAAATACTGTAATTTAGGTTTAGGGACAAAAAAGAGGCCTACAGTTAAAATATACATTTTATCTGTATATCTCATTGTACCGTGACAGATCGACCTACAGTAAATGTTAAATAATTAATTAACCTGTATGAGGTGTTGAAACTAGTTGGTTCACTTCAAAACTCAAATTTTACTAAGCAGTATCCTGCAAATTCCATAAAGTCAATGTCTGCCAAATGTCTTGCAAAAGAAGGCTATTCATACCAGTACATTGTCGGGTGGAAGACTTTCAGGTGCTAAATTGTTCAGCATGGGGTCCGGCTAGGTAAATGGTAAAATTTAGGCCCTTAACCAACATAAAATAAAACTTTTTGTTCTCTTTTGTTTTTTGTCATGTCTGGCTGCTTGACCTTTCCGGCAGTGTGATTAAGCCCCCATCTGGTGCTGCTACAGGTCTCCTGAATCAATCCTATATTTCCGACCTTTAAAATCAGAAATTTATAAATTTGTGACAAATGTCTTCATTTGTTTTGGATTTGAATTTGATTTTTGGTACTCCCTTCCATAGGACTGCTATAATGTTACTTCTCCTGTTACAGTGGCTACGGTTACCCTGCCCCTAATGAGACTTGGTTTAGTGAGCATCCATCCAGTATTTAGTGATTTTACTTATCTAAATGTTTAATTGTAATTGTGTCACAATTTTTTTCATACATAGGAAGATGGTCTCACTCAAAGGGTTGATCCGAACGTATCCAAAAAGATTGATGAGCTTCTGGCAGAAGGCATCAACAGTGTAAAAGAAATTCAAAAACACATAGAATCCTATGTTACAACAGAGCAATTTCCAGGACAGTCAATCCCAACGCCATCTAATAGACGTTATTTTCCAAACAAGAAAACAATTAGGACCAAAATTTACCAGTTTATGATTCAAAAGAAGAAACTTTCTGCAATTGAACAGGAAAGTAATGAAAGGATTTCAGAAGAAGTCGTCGATAATGATTTGATAGCATGTGCAGAAGTAGAGGTTGATAATGCTTTGATAGCATGCTTAGAAGAAGTGGTTGATAATGATTCAGGGGCTCCTTCAGAAGAAACTGATAATAATTTGAGAGTCCATTCAGAAGAACTTGATGATGATGCCAGAGCCCATTCAGAGGAAGTTGATGATGATGTCAGAACCCATTTAGAAGAAGTTGATGATGCCAGAGCCCGTTCAGAAGAAGTTGATGATGATACCAGAGCACGTTCAGAAGTAGTTGATACTTTAGAACAAGCGACAGCCATTGTAAAGGATTATGAAGAAAGGACACTTAGTAAATTTATCAGCCTAAGTTGTCCAAAGGACTTTGGGAAGTCAGATGCTGGTGAGGAAGCAACTGCATAGAAAATACTGCTGTTTTACCTTTATGCAGTGGCGTATCAAGGGGAGGGCACAGGGAGGCGCACGCCCCCCAAAATTACAACAGTTGTGCCCCTCCCCCACCAAAAATCACGGTCAAGTAGTTAAAAATCACCTAAAATCACCATATTTTGCGAATTAGCGCCCCTCAACCTGTCTCTTATACACATCTAGATGTGTATAAGAGACAGGCTGACTTGAAAAGGCCCTAAGGATAAAGAAGTTGTTTTATTAATTTAGTACTGTTTTAATTTAATGGCTACTCCAGAATTCATCCATTATAGGAGTAAGTCTTGATATCAAATTTGTAGTAGTAGTAGTTTGAATAGGTTACAAATACTACTTACTAAATATAAACTCCAGGGTGGTCATTCAATTCCAGGGTGTTTTGCTCAAATCTTAAAGAGACTTGGTTTGTATCTGCATAAAAGTTGTGATTTATGATTAAGATGCTTGCCCTTCATGCTTAGAGTCCTAAGGTTAATTCTGGAGGGAAAGTCCACAAGTAGATATTCCAATGTTTGTTACATTATATGAAGTGAAACAATTTGTAGAATGTGTGTTTAGCATTTATTTATATAGGTGCACTAGCTTATTCATAGAAGAAAGTACATACAAGATATTTTGTTTTTTGAATTACTAAACAGAATTAATTCAATTATCCTTCACTCCTGTCCGTACCCCTATGTTCTTGAACTTGCTCAGTATATTAGATTTATCATTTCAGCTCTGAATATAGAAGCTAAGAAGATCTACTGGGATAATTCCTACACAAAGGAGGAAACTGGGTCAACACCATATATAATAGTTTCTCAAAAACAGTTGGAATGTCAATATGGAAAGGATCGAGACGAAGCTAAGAAGGCAAAACTCAAAGCTGGCAAGGAAACGGTACTAGTATTACGTTGCCTCCCGTGGTGTAACATACAGCTACAATACTAGGTTTCTAAATCTAGGGCTTTAAATAATTGGGCCTGGCTGTTATTGTAAACTTGCTTAGGCAATGTGGGGAATCTTTGTGATCGAAAGCATATTGCTCATTAAAATCCTAATTGTAAAGCGCATAGGGGCAATGTGCAATATGCGCTATATAAATATAACATTATTATTATTATTATATCACACATGATTTGGTGTTAATCAACAGTTCATATATACTGTAGCAAACATACTTTGATTTTTCATATAAGTGGAACACTAATAAAAGTGGATTTCTCGGGGATTCTATTATACCAAAGCTGATCACTCACTGCATGCAACCTTTGTCTGATGAATCCAACTCGGTTTCTTGTTAGCGTTGGACGATGTGACGCTGTCTGCTGATTGTCAGTGACAGTCTGATCTGTTGCACACGTGTCGTGGCTTTCTCCATGGAATCGATTTGGGCGACAGTTGTCGTGAGCAGCTAGTGCCTTGCTTAACACTCCAAGTCAAATGAATCTACAACAGATAGTACCATTTAATTTTAACAGTTCAATCATAAGCGCCTCTCCCAAACATCTTTTCTCAAATTTATTTAGAAAAAAAGGAGAGCTATCATTATCTTGTCAAGTAATAAATTTCAATTCAATTCAAATGTGTTGTATTGTGTATTCCATAGAACTTAAAGCCTGTAACCGGCCCTTTTCAAGCCTAATCGCTCTGGTAAACCCAACCACCTAACCCTAGTTATGTGCCGTTATTGATCTCAGTGTTATCAATAAGGCCTTTTTCTTTCCACCTGGTTATTTATTTCTGGAACAGGTTTGCTTCTCCCATGCCTGCATGGTAGTCAGTGTTGTGGCCTTTATTATACTGTATTTTATTCTTCAAGATAAAAGCTAAATTATTGATTTGTTTTTGTTTTTTTACATTCCAGAAAGAAGATTGTGTTGCACATATAAGCGGAAGGGGGAGGCCATCCAAAAAAGTAGACTGTCCTGCTAAGCTTGTTATTCGTGATCTTGTTTATTTTACAGATTTCAAGGTAAACAAATTTAAAACTAACAGTAACATTGAGGGATCTGTGAAATATACATATATACCTCAAAAAGTAATCATAAATTTCTTATTTTAAAAAATAAAGTATGTTACAGGTAAAAAATGTTTTCAAAGATTCAGGGATCTTTAGCATAACCGATAAATTTCTGCTAGAAGGACTATAATTGGATAATAATATTAAATGCTGGTTAATTGGCAAAGAAAATTAGTTCTTCAAATAATAATAATAATAATAGTTCATTTTCTAATTTTTAGTTGAAAGATATTTTCGAACTAACATACAAAGCATACAATATAATGTTAAAGTTATACATGGCAGTATCTAAACTCAGTAAGTGGCTATTTCATGAATAGACATTTTAAGCCGATTGAAAATGAAATGTACACCTTAGTGCAAGTGCTTTTTGAAATATTATAATACTAACTTCACAAATGTGAGGTCTCACCACAAAATGAGTCTCATGGTTAGAAATTCAAAAATTGAGTTTATATTATATTTGGGTAGATCACATTATAAGCTTTCATTTGGTCTTTGAATGGCTTCCCTACTATAAGTAAATCCAGAGATGTGAGCATTTAAAGTTTAGGTGTATAAGAACCATGTTTTGAGAAATCGACCTCAAAGATAAACTAACCTTTACAAATAATACGACTAGAATTACAGAATATGTGCAGAGAACACTGTTTTGGCAAGAAAATTCACTTACAAAGTATACAATCATAAAATATAAGTATCAAGTTATTCAAAAACATTAAAATCAAAATTTTGTAAAAATATTGACTTTGGTCTGTTTTGGTGAATATCTCAATATGATTTCACTAACAATGCGTCTCATTTCGTGGTGATACCTTACAAATGAGGATTAACATGGCAGTTATAAAGAGGCAGAAGTTTACCATTTTGACATAATATTTATTTCAGATAAAAGATGACACTAAATATCGCAAGGAGAGGAAGAGTAAAGAGCTAAAAGTTGCATTTAAAAACAAACAAGCTGTCCGTATTTCAAGGCATTTCTTTATTAATTTACCTTCAACAAAAGATCATCGCAACCATGAGTTTGGTCAGGTAAGGATTATAAAATATTGGCGTACAATTAATGTTACCTAAACAGAGTTACATATCTGACCATTAGAATATAACTTTAGTTCGTCATGGCATGGCCGTGTGAACCCTGCTTTTAGGGTTGTTGGGCAAGATTTAGACAAGACAAGGCATTAAATATCAACTTGCTTATTGACAGTCATGCTGAAAGCTATGAACGAAAGCTAAGCTTACGTTGCCCTTTGACTCAATTTAACTGACATCAACTGACCTTTGCCAACTTGCCAGCAACTGTCGAGCAAATGCGAGTCACACAGTTTATAATAATAATATGAACACTTATATAGCGCATAATCCGACTCATAGAAAGAGTATGCTCATGGCGATTATTTCACAAGATTTTAAAAAGATTGCTTTGAAATAATTTGCTAAAAAACACGCGTTTACAAAAATTCCAGAACTAAGTCAGTCGCTCTAAATTGAGACAACATGAGTGCTCTGATCATCAGTTGTCCTCAGGTGGTGTTCAAAGCAACTGACATGCGATTGAATGGTCATATGACAGTAGTCATTTAAATGCGTGTGTACCATGCATGCTATCAAATTATGGTAGCGTTGCGTGACAGTACCTAGTGGCTTGTTGCTTGCAGTTGTGCCTTTTTACTAGTTGAGGTCAACATAAGCTTTGCTTAACATTTAAGTTAATGGTTAAGTTGTCGCACAGGCCAGTATTTGAGTAAATAACCTATCATATATCAGAGCTCAAAAAATTGCATAAAAATCCAAATTTGTTTTTCACTATAGATCAACAGTTTAATGTCTTATTAATCATATCCCAAAGTATTAGTTCCGGAAATGGTCAACAAATCGTTTATTTAACATTATTTTGAATCTATTAAACAATGTATGCACAAATAAGTATGAAAGACATTTACTCAAAATCATATATATATATCTGTCTCTTATACACATCTAGATTTGCATATAAAGTTGCTGATGTTTTTTGAGTGGCTCATATTTTAATCACTTTCAAAATATTTTCATGTTTTAGATTGCTAGTCCACCAACAAAAAGGAAACAGCCTCGCAAGAAGGAACAAGATATTTCAACTGCTGAAAGCTGATGTGATGTCTCTTTCTCTCATTCACATTTAATCAAAATATGCAATACAATATTATTGTCCAAGAACCTTGATAATATCTATCTATATTGATGTTTTTCCTGTATGATGGGCAAAGAATAATTTGCAGTATTTCAATAGCGTTTTTCATGCTATGCAGATGTGATGCTTAAGTGGTTATAATTTTGATTGAAATGGACGTGTATTACCAGATATTTGTTCTTTGAAGATTCAGAAAGTAGTGTCTGTATGTTACATCGTACAATTCAGGGCTAGCGCATTTTTGTCTTCTGAAAAAAGCACATCCTTGAATCTCAATCCAACAATAAACCAAACAATACAATAAAGCTCAGTGTATGTGTGCATTTCATTTTAATCCACCCTTCAGACAAGGGTTTGAGTTACTGGTAGCATTATGATTATGCTCTTTAATGTTGTACTCTCCTTGGAAAAAATCTAAAGAAAAAACATAAGAAATTTTGAATAAAATATTGTATTTTATTGTTGGAGCTGAAAGTTTCAAGTAAGTTATAAACTTAAAATAAAATAAAAAATTTGTTGCCAGGTTCTACACCAAAACCAAACCATATACATGGTAATACTCTCAAATCCAATGGCTCAATGGTAACACTTTTTTTATTGTACAGGCGCTAAAAAAGTTATGTATGACAAAAAAAAAATCAACTACCTTCATTAACATGGGCTGTACATTACCCAACATCACTTTTAGTTGTAATAAATTTAATCACATTTTCCATATCCCTTTGTTATAAAAGAGAATGGCTCCTGAGTTCAAAGACCGTGTCAGCAGAGAATTTTTTCTCATGACTAAAAGAAATCTCCACTACCTAGGGCCTCGTAAATACTTGGTTTATGAAATATTATTTCGATTTTGTTTATTTAAGAGTGGCCTGGAATATGGGCTACTAAAGTTGGACTGGTCACCTAGTGTAAAAAAAGGTTCACAAATTTAAATCACTGTCATTAGCAGGACCCGTAGCGTGACTTAATTTGTGGTTGGTTCGTTTTAGTGGAAAGTGGATCCTTTATCTCCGATACGCTGGAGAACATTGAAAATATATCTACTAATATCAATTTTTCGTTTTTAAATGCGGACCATCTCCAGTTTTTGGGCTGTTCGTCGTAACCCCCTTAACTCCACCACGCTACGGGCCTGCATTAGTCACTTATAATTTACAAACTAATTTGTCGTCTTGGTGTTGTGTGTTTTTTGCACCGACCAGACTTCCACCGGAGTAAACGCATAACCTAGCCAAAACTTAGTTGGTTGTGCAGTGCTAGTTTAAGTATACTGTGCGTTTTTTTATAATTGCTTTCCTTGTATAAAAACAAGCCTTTAATGTAACATTAAGCATATTATACCGTCAGTTTTTAAAGGGTTTTCTTCTGTTAGGAATGCATATCGACAAATGTCCGTTAACTCAGTTGAGCACAGCACACCAAATCGGCGGGCGCCGATGATTAATTTGTCCAAAATAAATTGCGCCCTCTGTTGGCAGTAACAGTTTTGTTGGTACTAAATATTGGAGGCATTACTTTTTGTGACAAATGAAATGAAATAAAATAAAGAGAAACTGACATTACAATTTGGCTTTGTCGTTATGTGCTTATTTCTATGTGCTTATATACCCTACGGTGGGCGGAGACGGGTATAACCTGTCCGATAGCTGGCTGTCAACATTTTATTTCATCAAACAGTAATTCATTCACATTAAATCTCATCGATTAGAAGGGTAGTATAGGTTGCTTATGCCCAATGCCGTAGCCAGGATTTTCAAAAAGCGCGGGATTGGACAATATCAGGGTGGACCCACTTTACGCGTAAATATAAATAATGTGGACGCATTTCTTAAAAATCGACCCATTTTACGCAAAAATATGAAAAATGTGGACATTTAAAATTTTACCCATTTTTAACTAAATATGAGAAATCTGGACCCATTTTTCAAAAGTTGACTCATGTTATGCATAAAACTGCATAATTTGGATCCATTTTTAAAAATGTGGACCCATTCTTTATGGACCCATTAGAAAAATTGTGTGGGACTGTCCCAGCCAACTGTCTACGGCATTGCTTGTGCCCGCAAGTGTGTAGTGATTTAACAAGCAATAACAACAACAATAATAATGCTACTGTATACGATATAATAAAGCGCCTATCAAAGTTAAAACGTAAATCGCGCTGTAGAAAAATTAGATACGGAACTAACAAGTCGTAAATTTTGCACATAAAGAAATTCCTTAAATGAGGACTGGCTGTGTCTCCGATTAGAAATACAGTACTAGTTTGCAAGATTTTGCAATTTGTTATTTTTGTGAATAGATTTCCGATTACAAGAGAATACACCATTAGTTAAAAACATCAAAGATGGACAAAAGTAAATGATAGCGTAAATTACCACTCATTGTTACGGTTCTACATTGTGTAGGCTATTCAACGTGATGTGTAAAAGACATTTCAAAATAGGAGTAAATTTATGTATATATTCTGGAACAACTTTGCCTTTATAGCGAGTGAAGTTCTGTTATATTATCATTTCTATCATAGACATTTGTAGGCTTTCTTTGGTACGTTTACAAGAATCACGATGGAAAATTGTTTTGCATTCGGTTTAAGCAATGGTTTTTTTCGGTTTTGAAGGCCAGTTAATTAAAAATTCTTAATTTATAAAATACTGTACCGTATTTATACAAATATAACGGCCCTTTAAATAAACACCCACTGGTTTATTTGAGTATCTGTATAGATAAAAAAATAACGCCCCCAATATTTCACCACAAACAGTGTACGGTAACTGCTGTCGCTCAAAAAAGTGAGAGCAAAAACTTCAAAATTTATACTTCCTATAATCATTGCTAACTTCAATAAATCGCATTAAGTTCGATAAGCCACAGATAAAAATAGTACAATTGTCAGGTAGAGTGTGTTTCATCTATCTTCTCATTATTTTCATGTTATTAATAACATGAGTTGTTATGTTGCTTCGGCGTGGTTTCTCATGCACGAATAATGTGAATTTATGATATGGATGGATTATATAGGCCTATCCATGGATGGTTTGTACGGAAGCACCTAAGTGCCATTCGACTTGACGACTTGTCAAGATAATTTATGTTGTCAAGTCGACATAATATACATATCATGTCGACATGGCGAGATAGATTATCTTGACAAGTCGTCATAGTA